GTCCTAGTGGCATTAAAAGAAGAAAGGAAGTAACCCCAGAAAAGGACTTGACACCTCAAGTCTTAATGGAAGGGGATTCCCCTTCTAAACACTAAGACTCTCTCCTCCTCCCATCCCATCAATCATCACCAGATCTTCAATAAAGGTAAGTGTCATGTAACTGTGCATGCCTTTTTCAGTTCGTGTGTATTAAAATTAATATTTCATGTGGTAAAATTTTTTTTTTTCATACTCTGGGGTGTCTTGCACGGATTAATTTGATTTCCATTATTTCTTATGGGGAAAATTCATTCGCATAACGATAATTTCGCATAACAATGAGCTCTCAGGAACGGATTAATATCGTTATGCGGGGGTCCACTGTATAATTATCAGAGTACATATAAAATATGCAATAACACTTGAAATGTTGTGAAGTTTTCAGACATAATAGAGAGATGTGCTCATGGAGGATGTAAACAAACCAGGTGGGGTGCACCATATTAGAAAGAGTGGGAGCCATATATCGAGTTTTGGTCATAATTTGAAATCGCTGTAGTATTAGCAGAATGCCATAAGGTGAAATGCTGTAAAGTGGAGTCCTGCTGTATAAATACAGTATTGAAGATGGTTATGGAGCTCAGTGGACAGTAGACAGCTCTGGGTCATATGTTTTATCATTTGACACAACTCAACAAGATTCACTCTACAATTTTCTTGTTTATTTCAGTAAGAAAGACAGATTGGATCATATGATAGGACTCTCATATCTGTGGGGGATGCATTCCAAGGACCTGCCATGGATATTGAAACTATGGATAGTAGCAAACACTATACATAAGTCCTATATAGACCTATTATTAGTTTAACTGATAAATTATGCACAATAAGTGGAGAATTATCCCTTTTTCACTGATGGGAAGCAGTTTACAGGTTCTCTTAGGCTTTGAAGAATTGCTTCTCCACTTTTGCACTTTGGGGCCATTATTACGCAAGCTAAGAGGTATCACTGGGCTACAGTAAACCTTGGATAACTGAAACCACGGATACTGAATCAGTGGATATGGGGGTCCTACTGTACTTTAAATTCCCTATTTTATTGATTGTTGATAAAGAAGTGCTTGGAATACAGTAGACAGGTGTGAGCTATCTGTTTGTGTTTAATCAGCTGACAGCTGTGAGTCAGTTTTCTCTTGAGGTCAAAAAGACTTCTGCAAACTCCACATTGAGTCAGAGCCAACAACCACCTCTTCCCAGGTCATATAAATCAATGAACAGAAAAATTTCATGCCTGAGCCATGGCAAGTAAACCCAGGTAAAACAGCACTAATATATATGTCCTGTCTAAGGGCAATATGTGGTGTAAATATTATGCAGAAAATTCAGTGTGTGGAAATTAGGAGAAGGTGTGGAGTTAATAAAAGTATTAGTCAGAGGGCTGAAGAGGGTTTGTTGAGGTGGTTTGGTCATTTAGAGAGAATGGACCAAAGAAGAATGACACGGAGAGCATATACATCTGTAGGGGAAGGAAGGCAGGGTAGGAGTCGTCCCCAAAAAGGTTGGAGGGAGGGGGTAAAGGTGGTGTTGTGGGCGAGGGGTTTGGACTTCCAGCAAGCGTGTGTGAGCATGTTAGATAGGAGTGAATGGAGACAAATGGTATTTGGGACCTGACAGGTTGTTGGAGTGTGAGCAGGATAATATTAGTGAAGGGATTCAGGGAAACTGGTTATTTTATATAACCGTACTTGAGTCCTGGAAATGGGAAGTACAATGCCTGCACTTTAAAGGAGGGGTTTGGGATATTGGCAGTTTGGAGGGATATATTGTGTATTTCTAAACGTATATACTTCTAAACTGTTGTATTCTGGGCATCTCTGCAACAACAGTGATTGTGTGAGTGAGGTGAAAGTGTTGAATGATGATGAAAGTATTTTCTTTTTGGGGATTTTCTTTCTTTTTGGGTCACCCTGCCTTGGTGGGGGACCCAAAAAATCACAGGCACATTAAATGTCATAAAATGTTAATAAAGACACTGCCTAATCCATCTATAATGTATCTTTTTCAGAATTGTATAATAAACACACTACATAACATGCCCCTCAAGGGAGGTTCCTTTATGCTGGTGAGGGGCTCTTGATCTAGGGAATTGGATCTGTGCTCCGGTTCCGAGTTGAACCTAAATACCTTCCATCCCCCCCCCCACATGCGCTGTATAATCCTATGGGTTTAGCACTTGCCCATAATTATAATACGTAAGATATGAGGTGCAAAAGGTAGCTAGGAATTTGTTTCTATAATCCTGTCAACTTTGTTTCTAGTTTGATTCTGGAGATTAGAAAGATTTCTTTCTAAAGTCTGGATTTGTGGTTGCTCTTTTCTGTACATATTTTCCTGTCAAGAGTTTCTTGCCTTCATAAATTATATACTTAATATGCATGATAGTGTTATTTCCCCACCTTGCTTTTGCATATTATAAATTAAGTTGCAAACCATGAACATAGTTGTGGATGAAAAGGATGAAATAGTATATCGCCCATTGTATATAATTACATTAGGAGCTTGTGTAAATTTTTATCAAGTGTCTACTCTTGATGCTGAAGTGCTAAATCATTGCCATACATGGTAGCAATTTTTGGTCAGATAAGTAAGGAGTAAAGTCACTTTTTTTGTGTGTGTGTGGGGGGGGGGGGGGGAGGCAGAGGTTGCTTTTGCCCTTGTTTAAAGTTGCTGTTGTCTACACGCTCACCACCACCTTCCGGGTTTATACATTTGTTACTTTTACTTACTTTTCACAATGAGCTTTTATAAACTTTTTCATTGTCTGCACCACATGCTAGTACCACCACTGCCACCCCAGTCAGTCTTCATTGTCTGCACCACATGCTAGTACCACCACTGCCACCCCAGTCAGTCTTCATTGTCTGCACCACATGCTAGTACCACCACTGCCGCCCCAGTCAGTCTTCATTGTCTGCACCACGTGCTAGTACCACCACTGCCACCCCAGTCAGTCTTCATTGTCTGCACCACATGCTAGTACCACCACTGCCACCCCAGTCAGTCTTCACTGTCTGCACCACATGCTAGTACCACCACTGCCACCCCAGTCAGTCTTCACTGTCTGCACCACATGCTAGTACCACCACTGCCGCCCCAGTCAGTCTTCCTTAACACTTGTGCCAACTAGGCAAAAATTTGCTTGAAATACTGGATAACATTGCAAGTTAAATTTGTAATTGCAATGCATTCTTACACCATTGAGTTTAAAAATTTGGCTTTATTTTATAGAAGTATATATTGCACTGAATTTAGTAATTTTTTTAATTGGAAAAAAATGACCATTTCCTCACAAAGCTTGTAATATGTGGTTTACATATTACAATATATTAATTACAAAGAAAGCCGCTAGCAGGCCTAGGCATTTTGGGCAGACTAATCCTAATTCTTACTGACACAGATTATGGAGCAATGCACTTCAATATTCCTCAATGCATATAGATATAAAAGTTAGGTAATTAAAAACATTATCATTAACAAAATTGATAAGCGAGGTATCACAAAACACACAACAGTATTACAATTAGTAAAATTAGTAATGGGAATGGTCGTACCTCGGCATGATACTTCTTATATTGGCAAAAGTATTTCTGGCAAACTTAGGACTGAAGATTAATTAAACCTTAACTATTTTGGGAATTTTGTTTAGTCATTTGGGTGAGTAAGTGTAAAAATGGGGAGAATTACAGATAGTGTATTTTGTTTTGGATGTTAACTTTTTATTTTTTTGATGTTTGCTTTATTTCTTTCAGAGTAATAAATGCCCTAAAGCCTGGCCAAATAAAGAAAATTGAAAGATCTACCATGGCATTTAAGTGCATGGAAAATATCAACCAGTTTGTGGATGGTGCAAAGGCATGTGGTGTCCCATCTCAGGAAACCTTCCAGACTGTTGACCTTTGGGAGCGCCAAAATCTTAATTCTGTAGTAATTTGCATCTTGTCACTTGGAAGGAAGGTAAGGATGAGTGAAGTTTTAAATGGTTAGGCACTTTAAAAGCAAAATTTTCCTTGTACCATTTTGAAACTTGGCCCCAGAAATTGGTGCATGAATGTTGTGCATGAATGTGTGAGTGAGGTGAAAGTGTTGAATGATGATGAAAGTATTATCTTTTTGGGGATTTTCTTTCTTTCTGGGTCACCCTGCCTCGGTAGGAGACGGCCGACTTGTTGAAAACAAAAAAATTAAAAACCCTCTTTTAGGTAGTAGGTTGGTAAACAGCAACTGCCCAGGGAGGTACTACCGTCCTGCCAAGTGAGTGTAAAACAAAAGCCTGTAATTGTTTTACATGATAGTAGGATTGCTGGTGCCCTTTTTTCTGTCTCATAAACATGCAAGATTTCAGGTACGTCTTGCTACTCTACTTACACTTAGGTCACACTACACATACTTGTACAAGCATATATATACACACCCCTCTGGGTTTTCTGCTATTTTCTTTCTAGTTCTTGTTTATTTCCTCTTATCTCCATGGGGAAGTGGAATAGAATTCTTCCTCTGTAAGCCATGCGTGTTGTAAGAGGCGACTAAAATGCCGGGAGCAAGGGGCTAGTGAACTCTTCTCTTGTATAAATTACTAAATTTAAAAAGAGAAACTTTAGTTTTTCTTTTTAGGCCACCCTGCCTTGGTGGGATATGGCCAGTTTGTTAAAAAAAAAAAAATGAACAACTCTCCATGGGGAAGCAGAGAAGAATCCTTCCTCCGTAAGCCATGTGTGTCATAAGAGGCAACTAAAATGCCAGGAGCAAGGGGATAGTAACCCCTCCTGTATAAATTACAAATTGTATAAAAGAAGAATTTTGTTTCTTCTTTAACGGGTCACCATGACTCAGTGGAAGATGGCCAAGTGTTAAAAAATATGAATACCAACCTATTAAAAATACTCAGGTGCATGTTATAAGCAGTCTGTATATCTAAAATGATACTTATGAGCTAGAAAAACAAATCAGCATTTTAATCTTACCTTAGAATTACAGCTCTTAATGGTTGTAATGCAATTAATGTTATCTACATTGCCAATCTCATCTTCAGCTTCAGAAGGCTTCTTTGACCTTACATTACCCAGGATGCAGGCAATATCATCTTCACTGTAGCGACTCAGGTCTTTCCCACGGGTAAATTTGTGGTAGCTATCAATAAAGAATTAGCATTAGCTCAGGCATAAACATACCTTCCTGAAGAATAAAAAAGGCACAATACTGCCACTGGAGTAATACACAAATAACTTACATGTAAGAGACTGAAACTTATGATGACGTTTTGGTCTGACTTGCACTATAAACCAGTCACATAGAGATGTGCAAAGGAAAAGGAGTGAGAATACATTATTATTATTATTATTATTTTATTAACACACTGGGCGATTCCCACCAAGGCAGGGTGGCCCGAAAAAGAAAAACTTTCACCATCATTCACTCCATCTCTGTCTTGCCAGAAGGGTGTTTTACACTACAGTTTTTAAACTGCAACATTAACACCCCTCCTTCAGAGTGCAGGCACTGTACTTCCCATCTCTAGGACTCAAGTCCGGCCTTCCGGTTTCCCTGAACCCCTTCGAAAATGTTACTTTGCTCACACTCCAACAGCACATCAAGTATTAAAAACCATTTGTCCCCATTCACTCCTATCAAACACACTCACGCATGCCTGCTGGAAGTCCAAGCCCCTTGCACACAAAACCTTCTTTACTCCCTCCCTCCAACCTTTCCTAGGCCAACCCCTACCCCACCTTCCTTCCACTACAGACTGATACACTCTTGAAGTCATTCTGTTTCACTCCATTCTCTCTACATGTCCGAACCACCTCAACAACCCTTCCTCAGCCCTCTGGACAACAGTTTTGGCAATCCCGCACCTCCTCCTAACTTCCAAACTACGAATTCTCTGCATTATATTCACATCACACATTGACCTCAGACATGACATCTCCACTGCCTCCAGCCTTCTCCTCGCTGCAACACTCATCACCCATGCTTCACACCCATATAAGAGCGTTGGTAAAACTATACTTTCATTCATTCCCCTCTTTGCCTCCAAGGACAAAGTTCTTTGTCTCCACAGACTCCTAAGTGCACCGCTCACCCTTTTCCCCTCATCAATTCTATGATTCCTCATCTTTCATAGATCCATCCACTGACATGTCCACTCCCAAATATCTGAATACATTCACCTCCTCCATATTCTCTCCCTCCAATCTGATATCCAATCTTTCATCACCTAATCTTTTTGTTATCCTCATAACTTTACTCTTTCCTGTATTCACTTTTAATTTTCTTCTTTTACAAACCCTACCAAATTCATCCACCAACCTCTGCAACTTCTCTTCAGAATCTCCCAAGAGCACAGTGTCATCAGCAAAGAGCAACTGTGACAACTCCCACTTTATGTGTGATTCTTTATCTTTTAACTCCATGCCTCTTGCCAAGACCCTCACATTTACTTCTCTTACAACCCCATCTATAAATATATTAAACAACCACAGTGACATCACACATCCTTGTCTAAGGCCTACTTTTACTGGGAAAAAATCTCCATCTTTCCTACATACTCTAACTTGAGCCTCACTATCCTCGTAAAAACTCTTCACTGCTTTCAGTAACCTACCTCCTATACCATACACCTGCAACATCTGCCACATTGCCCCCCTATCCACCCTGTCATACATATAAGAGGGAAAGGGGAGATGAGAGTGGTAGAATGGGAAGAGGAGGAGAAACAGCAACAGCAGTGGCGGCAGTGGCAGCAGCAGCGGCAGTGGCAGCAGCAGCAGAAGAAGCAGAAGCAGCACCAGCAGAAGAAGCACCAGCAGAAGTACTACTACTACTACCACTCTTGTCCTCATCTACTCTTGTATTTATTGTGGCTCCCTTCCCTTCGTGCTTCTCTATGTGACTACATAACAAAGAGGGTGTATATACAGTGGACCCCCGGATTAGGCCGTCATCAGAATAAGTAATATTCAGAGTAAGTAACGTTTTTTTCATCAAAATATTGGCTTGGTGAACATCACTGAACTCAGTATAAGTCATTCGTCTGGAACATGTCCACGCGGCCTAAATGGCTCTGACACTCCATGTACAGCCAGTGAGGACGATCCCATGCGTTCATACGATACATTTTTTATTATTCCATTCTTTTTAGTGCTTGTAACCTCTAAATAAGCCACCATGGGTCCAAAGAAAGCTTCTAGTGCCAGCCAGCCCTTTGGTAAAGGGCTGAGAGAGAGGGGAGAATGTGCCTTTTTCAGTGATTCTGTAATATGTACAATACTAAAGCAGCAGGAGTCGATAAAGGTTATAACACCAGCAGCGATGAAATGTAGCATTAACAGTGTAGCAAGTAAGTTAAGCGATTAATAGATAGAAAAAGGACAGCACGAAACTGACTCCTCCATTGTTGTTGGAGGTATATAGGGCTACTGACTAACACTGTTGCCTCTGCTGCTGCCTTCACCACCACTATGTAAGACTTCTCTTTCAGTGGCCCTTATACACCCAACAACAAACAACACACCACCACTCGTGACATTCTTAATGCCATATTGTATTCATTCTAGAGTATATATCATGTTTCTATGTTATTAACATTGTTTATTATGTCATATTAGATGAATTTTGCTAGATAAATAAGCTGTAGAGCTGATATTAGTGTCATAATAAAGGACTATCTTGTCTTGTCTCCCAACACAATTCCTAACATATGCCGGAAATTGACCTCTATAGAACACTTTTTTGAGTGACTGGGGTCCAGTGACTCTCCAGTTGTGAAGAGGAGAGTCAGAATTTGCCCGGAGAGTGAGTGGGGAGTGAGAGCTTCCGTCCCGCCAGGCATAGTGATCAAAGCTACTTTGGCGGCATTCCCACAATGCCATGCGGGCATCCAGATTTTTTCTATAGTGCACACACTGACCACTCAGACCCGTTCTCTCAGATGTAGGCCTACCAGCCTTCTAGCGCTAAATTTGACGCCGCTAGGATTTTGGCGTAGATCTATGGTTTAGACCCTCAATGTAAAGCTGTAGATCTACTGCATGGATCCTGAAAGGGTTAAAAGAGGGGTTCAGGATATTGGTAGTTAGGAGGGACTTCTGAACTGATGTATTTGAGCACCTCTGCAGTGATTATGTGTGAGTGATGGTGAAAGTGCTGAATGATGATGAAAGTATTTTTCTTTCTTTTTGGGTCCACAACAGGCAGAGGGTTAACAGGGTCAGCCTCAAACCCTTCAAAATCCTTCTCGAGGACACAGTCTGGCCACAATTTTCTCCAAGCAGAGTTCGTAAGTCAGATAGTACCTGTACTATACATAAAATACACAATAACTTTAAAACACTAGAAATTTTGGAAAATTTCCAGACATAATAGAGAGATGTGCTCACGGAGAATGTAAACAAACCAGGTGGGGCGCACTGTATTTGAAAGACTGCTCGCCGTATAGCAAATTTTGATCATAAATTGAAACCGCCATATTAGCGGCACGCCGTAAGGCAAAACACCATAAGGCAAAACGCCATAAAGCGAGGCCCTACTGTATACTATAGTAAATACACAAACCAGCAACATAGTTGTTTATTATTATTAAGTACACCTACCATCCGACTTATGACCTGCTCGACATGCGTCCACTCGATTGACGACCGTACATCTGGCAGCTGGGCTGGGCTGGCTGATACATACCACTGTACAATATTTCACGATACTCATGGCGGCAATGTGCCATGCAGGCAGCAAAAGTTTGAGTTACCCTGCCCTATCAGCAGCATCATACTGTATTAACTGTACTAATTGGACAGTAAATTTCACCATGGCCCCTAAGAGGAAGTCTGAATTTTGCACCGGAGATTGTGGCAAGAAGGCAAGAAAGGCTCTTACTCTCGAACTCTCTCTATTTGTTTTCACTGTTGTCTGCCTGTCTGTTCACTGTATCTGTCTGCCTGTATACCTGTCTGTCTACCTGTGTGTCTGTCTTTGTCTACCTGTGTGCGTGTCTTTCTGTCTGCTTGTCTTTGTCTCAGAGCCGCTCATGCACCAACAGGTATTACACATGAAGCAGAGTTGTCACATTTTCAATATGATGCTAATATCACTATACAGCTTATTTATCTATCACAATTCATCTAATATGACATAATAAACAATATAAATAACATAAAAACCTGATATACACTCTAGAATGAATAAAATATGAACTTAACTACTTTAAACTCCACATCTTGCACCTGTGCTGGTGTGTAGCTACACATTAAAATCATTAAGAGTGTGTTATTGGTCTTGAAGATGCCATATTAATAATGATAATAATAACACAATAATAATCACTCTGAGGCGCATTAAATGTGTATAAAATGTTAATACTGTATAGACATTTTGCTTAATCCATTTATGATTTCTTTTCAAAATTATATAACAAACATGCTATGTAACATGTAAATTAACATACATATGAGATGTTTTTCCAGTCGGCTTGACAGAGTGAACAGAAACCATTCGTGTCTGGGCTTGTAACAACAACAACAACAACTGGTTTGTTTACAAAACTCGCAAACCTTCTACACTCTCATTCTCTCTCTCATTTATTCATTTAATCTTGTTTACTCACCTCTCACTCTACATTAAGACAACAGATATTTTAAAGTAAGTAATGAGTAAGCACTATATTATATTATAGTTTAATAATATTATTATTATTATTAATATTAGCACATACGTATTATTGTAATAATAATACGTAATAATTTATTTTTATTATTATTATTATTATTATTAATTTAGGGCACTGGAGCACAGATCCACTGTATAGCACTTTGTCTGGATTTTTGGGGTTATCCTAGGTAATTTACTCTATGTATGATAACTTTACTTATGTGTACCTGTGAGAGAGAGAGAGAGAGAGAGAGAGAGAGAGAGACACAGAGAGAGAGAGAGACACAGAGAGAGAGAGAGACACAGAGAGAGAGAGAGAGACACAGAGAGAGAGAGAGAGACACAGAGAGAGAGAGACACAGAGAGAGAGAGAGAGACACAGAGAGAGAAGAGAGACACAGAGAGAGAGAGAGAGAGACAGAGAGAGAGAGAGAGACACAAGAGAGAGAGAGAGACACAGAGAGAGAGAGAGAGAGACACAGAGAGAG